TTTATAAAGATTACTAATATTTGGCTTAAATTCAAAAATGGGACAATTATTCAGTAGGATAGGAACCAGCTGAATGGATCTTTTTTCAGTGTTTCAGCTGTGGAAGGTCAAGGGATTAAATCTTATTTTACAAACAGGGGACGTGATAATCCATAACCTGCTGTGGAAGGATTATTCATCAGTTACAGGAGCGGCAAATATTTGTGCTCAAGTATGCAAACGTGTAGATATTTAAAACCTGTAGAGATTAGATGAATGTTCAGCTTTTTGAAACCTAATATAAGCAAATGAGCAATGGAAAGTGCTGTTGGTGCACGTTAGTGCATGTTTCTCTGTGCTGCAGTACGAAGGGGAAAAGCCTCCAGATCAGGGCTATCCAATTGGTGGCCCAGGGACCAAATCAGGCCCATGGGTGAACTCAGTTCGGCCCACCACTGTGTTCATTTTTAAATAAAACTAGATCTTATACTGTAAAACAAACTAGATGACAATAACTGCTGGATGTTCAGCCCATGAGCTCTTGGCTTTCGGTATGTGTGGCCCCCTGAGTAATTTAGTTGAATAGCCCTGCTCTAGATCTTCTTTACTGAGGCTTCTGGTCTAAAAAATGTTTTTTCAGCTCTGCTTGTTTTGAAAACACTTTAGCTCTTTGCTCTCAAATTGTAAAAAAAAAAAAAAAAGTTAAATAATACTCAAAGGCATCTAATACTATTCAAAAAGTTAGTACAGAGTAATGTCTAGTAATATGTTGCATCACTTCTGAAACAAAACAACTGTCTTTTTGACAGTAAATGGTTTCCCCCTTCAGGAATCAAGGATTCAAGGTTCTTTATTGTCATTCACATCACATGTGGTGCATGAGGTGAAACAAAACTACGTACACAGGGTCCCAGTTACATCCAACAAAAATACATATTGTAAAGAATAACAGTAATAAATTCACACATGAACTAAGAAATACGCTAAACTAAGAATACATTAAATACACTAAACTAAGAATACATTAAATACACTAAACTAAGAATACATTAAATACACTAAACTAAGAATATATTAAATACACTAAACTAAGAATATATTAAATACACTAAACTAAGAATACATTAAATACACTAAACTAAGAATACATTAAATACACTAAACTAAGAATACATCAAATATACTAAACTAAGAATATATTAAATACACTAAACTAAGAATATATTAAATACACTAAACTAAGAATACATTAAATACACTAAATTAAGAATATATTAAATACACTAAACTAAGAATACATCAAATATACTAAACTAAGAATATATTAAATACACTAAACTAAGAATATATTAAATACACTAAACTAAGAATACATTAAATACACTAAACTAAGAATACATCAAATATACTAAACTAAGAATATATTAAATACACTAAACTAAGAATATATTAAATACACTAAACTAAGAATACATTAAATACACTAAACTAAGAATACACTAAGCACTTATAGTACAAAACAATGCCCCAAACAACAGCAGCATGAACACGAGTGTGTGAGCAGATGAGGACGAATGAACACAGTAACATGAAATAAATCAGCAGCATGAGATGAGATCAGCATCATGGATAATCAGCAGCACATATCAACAACCAAGTGGCATTACAGTGATTTTTTTCACACTAATTTTCACAGTGATTATTCTGGTTAGAGATTCATGAGTCCAACAGCTTGAAGGTAGAAGCTGTTCCTCAGTCTAGTGGTTCTACACTTAATGCTCCTTAACCTCCTGCCTGAGGGGAGCGGGGCAAAAAGTGTGTGTGCTGGGTGAGTGTGGTCCTTCATGATGCAGTTGGCCCTCTTCCTGCATCTGGAGGTGTAGATGTCTGTGATGGTGGGGAGACTGACTCCAACATCTTCTGTGCAGCCTTCACCACTCTCTGCAAAGCTTTTCTTTCTGCAGCTGTGCAGCCTCCATGCCACACGTTGATGCTGGAGCACAGGATGCTCTCCACTGCACACCTGTAGAAGGAGGTGAGGAATGAGCTTCCCAGACCAGCTCGTCTCAGCTGCCTGTGGAAGTAGAGTCTCTGATGAGCTTTCTTGATCAGGCTGGTGGTGTTGTTGCTCCAGCTGAGGTTGTCATTCATGTGTACACTCAAGTACTTGTAGCTGGAGACCACTTCCACTGCAGATCCTCCTATGTTCAGTGTGAGTAGGTGTGTTTGTTCCTTCTGAAGTAAAAAAAAAGCTTCAGCTTGATTTGCAGTAGAATTGTAGTTGATTAGTTTTGCATATTGGTAAATATTTAGGTCAGATCATATAAACTGGAGCTGTACAGTTCTAGGATATGCAGTATATAATGCGGGATTGCTTTGCTGAATTAAGCAAGATCTTTTAAGAGTCTAGATGCAACATAAGTTGTTTATAGTCTGCAGATAATGTTTCTGAATAAAATGCACACCAACGTGGGGTGTGTAAAAATTATTTCTAATAAAACCAGGCGCACTCCCACTTCTGACTGAGCCGTTAGTGAGAAAAGTTTTTTAAAAAGTCTTCAGTCATCTTTCTGGAATTTATGAGAATGTTGCATCAAGTAAAGTCAGCCTCAACCATCATTTTAAGGTCATTTTAAGGTCATTTTAGGTTAATTTTAAGGTCATTTTAAGGTCATTATCTGCTTCACATTTGTAGAGAAAGATTAAGTATGATGATCTCAGTAATTTCACATTTTGTTTTCTGTTTCGCCGCATAAAGAGCCACTCAATGACACTAATGGTTTTGTCTGTGTTCAGGTATATGTGTGTGTGTTCAACTGTATGTCGAGTTAGCAAAATATCTCGTGAAAATAGTGGATGGATTTTAAGAGTTATATAAAATAAATCAACTCTCAGAAAGTAATCATCTAAAAAGTGACCAACTGCGGAGTCAAAGTCATTCAAGATGGCCGCCACAGCTAAACAAACAAAAAGGTATTTTCCTCAGCCAATTTTTTAAATATTGAACTGAAACTTGGTGGTATGTCGAATTTCCTACATTTTCAGCAGCCGTTGTCATACAATTCCCTGCTCTACTCACATTTAATCCCTTGAAGGATCTCCACTGGACGTCTAAATAAAAGTGCTGAGAGCGACGCTGCTTTTTCGGGCAGACGGGTGTTTAAATTCAAGTCACGCTTTCATCGGGCAGCTTAACTTTCTCTCAGCGCCACTGTGACGTTCGCCCTCGGTCTAAATGCTTTCGTGTCACTTCATTAAAAAACAAACTCCAACTGATTAGGAGGTTTAACAGCTGTAGGTTGGGAAACATGCCATTGCATTTTATATCTGCCTTTAATGGGTAGGTGTCACAGCTCGGTTTACCCAGTTTGAACGCACACAGCCAAAGGCTTGTTGAGTGTGACGAAAAACACAAAATGTCAAATCTCTAAAATCAGTTTCCTGTGCTAACAGCCAATTTGCTAAAGGTGACGCTGCTCCTTAAGGAGAAGCAGACAAGAAGTGTGCAGTGTGTAATGTCACCCCTGCGCCTTTCCAGAAGTTTAGGCAGGTGTGGGAAAAAAAAGTTGCAAAGTAAGAAAGCTTTCACAAACATAAATTACCCTCTACAAGCAAAGCAACCTAAACTATTGTAGGTTTCTAGTCAAATGTATAATTAATTAATTATACCAAACAAGTGCTAATGATCATTTTCATGCAGAAACATGGTGATTAGTTGAAGTGGAAACGGCAGCGTAGGAGGATGAAAAGTGGCCCGTCTCTCCGACCAAGACAGCTTTGAATCACGGGTCAAACAGCACAACGAGACAGAACGGAGGTGGCTGAAGTGCAAAAATGAGGGGCAAAGGTTTCAAAGCAGGTTCAAGGTGCTGTCGACCTTGAAGAGGCACAAACAGCCTCAATCACATCATCAAGGGTATCAGGCTGACACGCAGAGGTCATCCTCTTATCTGACCCTTCACATCCAACCGAGAATCAAGTCGCAAGTACTTGGATTTTGTCAAAGTGTGATAAATAAATACCTAATCTACGAGTCCATTGAAGGAAAAGTCCAAAATATAATCCTAAAGAATGTTTTGAAGCACTTTTTGAGCAACAACTGGTGATTGTTTTGAGCAGAAAAGTCCTAAATTGTCTCTTCCTAAACACTAACAAAGATATTCTCAATACTAGCTGGAAAATCCCAATATTCAAATGTAGCTTGAGTTTTTCTTTCAAATGATGTTAAGAACCCTCATCTATACGCTAAAACTAGGATTCTGACAGATTATAAGGGCTATGTGTTGTCATCATTACATGTTTCCATAAAATGACGAAATTACTTCTCTGCATTTGACCCATCCCACCTGAGATACACCCAGGTGGAGCAGTGGGCATGTAAACTACGTAAGTGCCCACAATTAGGGATTAGGCGTTTTGCTCAGAGACACCATGACATGTGGGCACGGCGGGGAGTCGAACCGCGACTTTCTGTTCCCAAGTTGGCTGCCCTACCTCTACACACTCTCGGTCACAGATTCAGGGGTAATCTGCATTAAGCCGTGTCTCTGGAACTTCTCATGACATCTGATGATCCAGGTATCAACATGTAGCATAAAAGCCAGCAATCTGAAACTGTGCTCAGTTTAGTTTGGCCAAATATGATTTAATCCCTGACTAAATGTGATGGGTCATAATGACGTATCAGGTCAGTTCCTTCAAAAACTGTTTGCATGAAGAGTTTATGTTGTGAAAGTGAAAGAAAGCCTCACCAAACTGATCGAATTCTGTTTTGTTTTTATTATTGGGCTTGTTGGTTGATAAAAACAGCCAATTAATATTTAATTGGACCACTATAATTAGACTCTGATTGAGTCCTCCCCTTGTGTCCCTCAACACTCAGACGCTAACGCATACGATGACACTTCAACCCCCCCGATAGAATGATGAAGTGAGAACAACAAGAGGCGTCACAAACACGTCAAACTTTAGATTATTTGAATGAGAAGAACCTCTCACCTTTCCCCTCCCTTTCTCTACAGATGTTTATATTCCACAACGTGACAATCACGGTGCCCGAGAACTTCACCCAGTGCACCACCCATGGGAGTTTCGTCCATCGCTGGCAGGAGACCCTCTACAACATGTTCACTTTCATGTGCCTCTTCCTCCTGCCCTTGGTCATCATGATTTTCTGTTACACACGAATCCTCGTGGAGATATCCAGCCGCATGGCTCAGGGTAATAGTAAGTCACGCGGGCTCATGTGTTTACTTTCATAATATCAAGCGCAGCTTCTAGAAGCTGAAATTGAAAAATGTTGTTTCTTCTTTTAGTGCACTCAAGAGATATTCATCTTCGGCGCTCACACAGTAACATCCCCAAAGCTCGGATGAGGACTCTAAAGATGAGTATCGTCATTGTGACGTCTTTCATCGTCTGCTGGACCCCGTACTACCTGCTGGGCCTGTGGTACTGGCTGTTTCCCGAGAGAATGGAGGAGACCGTATCTCATTCCCTCACCCATATGTTATTTATTTTTGGCCTCTTCAACGCGTGTCTTGACCCCATCACGTACGGTTTGTTTACGATTCACTTCCACCAAGGTCTGAGGAGGCGGCGCCACAGCTCCAACACACGGATTGAGTTAGGACAGAACGCCGGTCTTAGGCAGACTTCGTGTTTGTCGTCTCAAAGGAAGTTTTTATCAAGCGGTCACAGTACGCACACAGAGGTGAGTGACGGTGGCAACTGCAAAAACGCCTCGGGCCCAACGGTTTCAGTGACCAAGATCTAATGATGGACGGTTTGTTGAGCTTGTCAATGTCTTTTTCATCAACTCTCAATCTGCGGGTAATTTAAATTCATGTTGTGCTCATAAAGAATCAGATTAAGCTTCACCAGAATTATGCTCCATGTTGTACTACTTTCTATAAAAGTGTTTTTATTGGTAGGAATGCATAAATACAGCCCAGTACATATCTGGTAAGTACTGGGTACTTACTGAGAACTTAATGGAAATTACTTGGCACCTATGGAGACAAGGTTGTATTATGATGTGGCTTATTACCCTGCATCTACAGGGAATTTACCCGGTAACAGGGAAGTACACCATAAATACCAGGTAAATAACTGGCACATATCAAGATTGTGCCTGTTATGTATTAAGCAGTATAACATATTGCTATAATTTATATATAAAAATAAAATCAGCTGATTTGATTGTCTCACACAGGAATATTAAACATATTCCTGTACAACTCATGGTTTAATTTAAAGTTTATCTGAAGGAAGTCTAAATAAATTGTACTAAAATATGCAAAATAACTTGCCGTAGATTTTAAAATCCTCATACAAGTGCATCTTAAAAGATTAGAATATTGTGAAAATGTTTTGTTTGTTTTTTGTCGGTCGCATCAGAAAGTGAAATTCATATTTAGATTCATTACAAAGAGTGAAATATTTCAAGAATTTCTTGTACTTTTTGATGATTATGGTTTACAGATAATGAAAAATTAAACTTCAGTGTCTCAGAAAATTAGAATATTGTAATAAAGTTCCATGTTGGAAACTCGCACACTACGCACAGACCAATCCTAAACATGGGCTACAAATGTTGCATCCCTCAAGTCATATCAAGTCCATGTCTAGGATTGGTCTGTGTATAGTGTGCAAATTTCCAATATGCAACTTTAATTTTCTGAGACACTGAAATTTGATTTTTCATTATCTGTAAACAATAATCATCAAAATTACAAGAAATAAAGGCATGAAATATTTCACTCTATGTGTGTAATGAATCTATATAATATATGAGTCTCACTATCTGAGATGATTGGCAAAAATAATTGAACTTTTTCTCAATATTCAAATTTTTTGAGACGCACTTGTATTAGTGAAAATTCAGGTCTTTATTTTTAGACGTTCAATTTCTCAGGTTGGATGAAATATTGCTATTTGAAGATTAGGATTGTTTTTCTGGTTAAACAAATGTTTTCCATTTGATTCTGGTTTCAGTTATTTTTAAATGACACCTATTTATTTTTATTTTTTAGAAAGTCAGTGCTTTCAAACCACATTCATTTAAAACCCAATAAAACCAGTATAATCACATTCATTTGTGAGTGGCTCAAAGGTGCAAAATAAATCAATCTGAATGTAAAAAAAACTGCACATCTTCATTAATGTCACTTTTTAATTCTTTATCATCCAGCTGGTGCAGTGGCCTAACTTACTGTGTAAAAATAAATCTCAAGGTGAGCAAAGAATTTAATCTCTATTCATGTTCTGTGGATTGTGAGCTCAAAATCATAAGTCAGGAAGCTGTTTTATGTTTGATATAATACAGGTCAAACAATTCCAGCATCAGTTTTAACCTCCAACCTGCACACTTTAAGATACTTTGCTCCCACTGTGTTCATAAAATGTTTATAAGATGAGCTGAATTTATTTTACTTAGGCCAAGGTCTCACATGGCTGTGAACATGAGCAACCAGCAAGCTGCACACAGACATTTTTAAAAGTCATTACTTATTTTCATTCATGGCTTTGTCCTACTCCAACAAGCTACCTTTGCTTTAATGCTCCACCTGCAATACAAAGAGAGACAATCAGCAAATTTGAAAACAGAAATCAGGAACAAGACCCTCGACACCCACCATGTGCCCACACGCTAGCCCCGGTATGTTTTAAATCCAGGAAAAGGTTAAACATCCACAAGTCTAACAACAAACACAACACCCATGAAATACAGAATAAACTAATGGAACGATTTGGAACAAAAGACCATAAAGCACCCAGCCATCCAAAACACCCCAGGAAAAATTGGCTAAAGGAAGAACAGAGAAATAAAAGGTGTGCCCTGAATCGAGGAAGAACCGGTGTCTGAAAGACCAAACCATCTTGGTAAAATGGAAGCTTGCCAGGAATACTGCCAGTGAATGTGGTCTTCACTTCGAGAACATGGACCATCTTTTAACTTCCTGCACCATAAGTCTGGTATTTACACAGTATATAATTTAGGTTCGGTTTATTTGTCATGTGCAAAATCAACACAAGGTCAACAATGCAACGAAATGCTTAGGATGAGAATAACAATCTCGACTCGCCAAAACAAAAAGAAAAAAGAAAACAACAACAAGAAGAAATGTCAAAGCATTCAGCAAAAATACTAAAAAAACATACCAAGAATATTACTAACATACTAAAAAAAACATAAGAATACTACTAACATACTAAAAAACATATAAAAAAAATGCTAAAATATTAAAAACAAGGCGCCAAGTTGAAAAAGAAATACATCTACAGTGTAATTCAGATACCAGAGAGGTTCTTTCAGCATCATGTTTCTGTTCTGTTAGCGACATGGTCTTTAGCAGGTTAGCAGGTCTTGTTAGCAGGTCCAGTCAGCAGTATGGTGGTAATAATGACCGTAGCAGCTGCCCTCACAGACCACAGTCCAGAAACGGGTCCGGCAGACAGAGAACATCCCAGGTTTCCCCACGGTACCGAACGGGTCTGTAGAGTTCGGTCCGTGCAGGCAGATGGATGCTAGCGTTAGCAGCATTAGCAGCATTAGCAGCATTAGCAGGCCCTGCTAGCAGCTTAATGATAATAACGACCGCAGCAGCTGCCGTCCCAGACTGTCCTCCAGAACCAGGTCCAGGAGACAGAGAACATCCAAGGTTTTCCCTGCGGAGCCGAACAGGTCCGTAGAGTTTGGTCTGTGCAGGCAGATGGAGGATCATGGAGACAGCCGCCATGACAGGCCAGAGCCTGAACCCAAGGCTGGAGGGGGGCCAGGAACTGAACCACGATGGCATTATTGCGATGGCAAGACAGCGACACACAAAACTCCACAAGTGTGTCACAGTCGTGCACGTACCGTGGGTGTGCATTGTAGGTGCAAAAAAAGTTAAAATGAAAACAACAAGAATAAAAAAGTCGCGTCGAAGCGAAGATCTCGTCAGCGCTACCATTCTGCGGAATGTGACGTCAGAGTCACATCATGTATAACATCTGCAGACCTCTGTCAGGTCTACAGCAGAGCGTAGACAAGGCTGTATTACTGGTGTGACATGATATGCTGATGATCCATGGCTTGAAAACTGTATTGAAGGCCGTGCACGTTGCTTTTTGCACCATCATACCCACCTCAGCAGCCTCATTTACCATTAGTCAATTGAAGAACCCTTTTGCAATTAATGCTTAGACCAGTTTTTTAAACTAGACCTGGTTAGATCTTGATATTTGAGGCTGTCACTCCAGAAGAAGACAGAAAAAAAAACTTAAAAGGCATTTCTATTTATTTCAGACTAAAAGCACGTCATATTACATAGTAATCTACTATGTTTGGCTAAAAATACAAGAGGATAAGTTGTGCTTTCTGTAAAAGCAGCATCAAACACCTCTGCTGAGTGCGACTTATGAGTATTTCTGCACTGAAGTGGAGAAAATAAACAAAATGTAGGGTATTAATAAGTTTGTTGCACACCCTGACATCTAAGGGCTTCACAAACGTGTTGTTGCTCAACCTGTCACATTAAAATATCACAACTCATCATTTTTTCCACTGATGAGAGAAGGAGGAGAGCCCCAAGTGCTCAGCCTGTGTTGGTGTAATCCGCTCTGGGGGGGTCAGTGGAGGGTGCGGGGTTGTCTGAGGCGGTACACCTGTCAAACTGTAGCACATGTGTCATGAGGTGAGCTCAGGAGGGGAGGAATCTCCCAAGAAGCTGAAGGGAAGCTCTGTGCCACAACTGAGCAACTACAATAAGTTTTTTTTTTTTTAAAACAAACACTTAGATCTACATTTAGTTTTGCAAGTGCAAACAGCCAGTACAATGTCAAGTTGTAGATGTTTGTATAACGTAGAAGGAAGGCATGCAACAGTTCATAAAAAGTACATCCTTACTGCTCTAGAATTACAAAAAGAAAACTGAGAAAATATGAGACACCTCCACAGTAAATCAGTTTCGTCGATTTATTTTGAGCATCCTCAAAATTCAAGCAGCAGGCCTGCCAAGGAGTTTGTCACCAGTTTGTTACCAACAGTCGCAGCCCATTGAGATACTGGCTTTAATAATTAAACATGTTAAACAGACTGAGTGTACTGCTGTAGTTAACCCATAATATAAGTCCAGAAACCACAGGCTGTGCAAGAAAAAGTCCAAATGACTGGATGATACAACTGGTTTTAACGGTTTGTGCTTTAGTTGTTTGTGTTGTTTGTTTTTAATTCTGACCAAAAAAATTAATATAGTGATGAGAGTCAACTGTGGTAGGCTCCAAGTCATTATCAAACTCATTAATTTTTTTCTAATGTGTTTGGTTTTGGCGCAGAGAAGCAAAATAATGAAGTTAACCAGTTGGCCGATGCCACCCTTTTCTTGAATGTACAGCTCACGTCGGGGTCACCGTTGATCCTAAACTGACACAAAACTGGAACTTGAGCACTCTGGATAATGAACTGTGACCTGTTCAGGGTCTCGAGTAAAATATAGAGAAAGATAAATAATGAAAACAGTTTTATTTGTGTGGACGTGAACAAGTTGTAACTTTGCTTTATTGCACATTTCACACATTTCTATTTAACGTATTTCAATGGGAGGAAGAGCCTTATGTGCAATTTGTTCTTGCAAATGGAGCAGATCTCACGAGGTAGACATGTGAATCTATAGATGTCAATCAGCAGTACCGTAGTTGTGGTGATGACGTCTATAATAATCCACGATGCGTTCTAACTGCAATGTCGTTTTTTTTTAGCACCTAAACTGCACAAATAAAACGTGAGATGAC